AATAATTTCAAAGATGGTGAAGTTGCTTTTATTTTGCTTGTGTTAAAAACAGCAATTAATGATGATTCAAAGCATTTGCATCTGCAGAAATTAGGTTCTTTGATCACTGGTTGGGTGTTGTTGAATTTCATGAGGTGATTGGTGGAATTCTGGTGTTGTACGCACGCATTGTTACATGCATTAATGTGTTCAATGAGGCGTGTTTCGAGTCACAGCCTCCACAAGGTATGGTGAAAACTCCTGCATTGACTGGTTCATGGTGGTTCGATTTTGTCCTGGTTAGATCCCTTATGGAAGTGCTGGATGTGATGGCAACTCTAGTGTTAGCTTGTGCAAGTACCTTGGAAATGTTCAAGGCAACCTGGCTGTTGGGAAGGATTTTTCCTAAGAGCATACTGAATTTGTAGTCCTAAGTTTCTTGATGAAGAATGTACTTGTATACACCAAACCTTAACTTATCTATATCTTCCTCCCTTTTTCATCAAAGACTGCAAAAAAAGAGTTCTACAGATCATCAATTCTCAATGCACCAACACCACCCCTAACAAAGTTATACAGCCTCTCCTCACTTAGCAACGTACTCATTTACCAACGCCTTGGACTTACGATGGGGGCTCTGACCAATATTCACACCTAAATAATGTATATTAGATCTGATTTCCTCTATTCTGCAATATGCAGTACACTACTGTATAAACATTTAAATATATACCAGAAATGTTATAAATGGTGCAAAGGTGACATTAAAGCAATATCAAAGATGGATGACACAAACTCACTACCATTATAGTATGCTCCTCACTTGGTGACGAATTCGTTAACCGACGTGGTCTTAGGAACGGAACTCCGTCGTTAAGTGAGGAGAGGCTGTAATCCTTCCCAACAGCCAGGTTGTGCTGAATGTTTCCAAGGTACTCACACAAGCTAACACTAGTCACCATTGCATCAAGGACTTTCATAAGGGATCTAACCAGGACAAAATCAAACCACCATGAACCAGTCAATACAGGAGTTTACACCATACTATGTGGAAGTTGTGACAGGATATATGTAGGTGAAACAGCAAGGCACCTCGAAACACACCTCAATGAACACAATGCATGTAGGAATGATAACTTGAACAAAGCCTGCGTACAACACCAGAAATCCACCAATCACCTCATGAAATTCAATGACGCCCGACTAGTGGTCAGAGAACCTAATTTCTGCAGACATAAATGCCTTGAATCATCATTAATCACTGTTTCTAACACAAGCAAAATAAAGGCAGCTTCATCGTCTCTGAAGCATTAGCAAAAATCCTCCTCAAAACAATAAACCTTACCATCACATAGTCTCTGCTGCTAATACTACACAAGAACGTAACAGAGAAAGAACACTGAAACAGACCCTCTCAAATCCAACAACAGAAATATTTGTCTAACCTATTTTTATGCTACCCAAGTAATAGCTTTTATAACCTTTTACTCATGTGCAAGTTGACTGTTCTACCACAGTGTATTACTACTGATTGACTTTGGCTGTCTCTCCATCTATATCTGTCTGTCTCTTTCTCTGTCTGTCTCTATCTCACAGGTACACATAAATACAATTATACATAGTGTAAATTGCCTAGGATAACCCAAAAAATGCAGACAGTGCTATACTGTGCTTGTAGATATAAGGCATAATAAGCATGACCAGCAGGAAGTCATAAGCATTTTCACCTGATTGGGAATCAGATGTGACAACTCTGCATTGTGTGTAATACCTGTTGGTTCATGAGTGGCTCTGAAACAGATACAAGCAGAGAGAGACAGGAAGACAGACACACAGGCAGAGCTAGACAGACCATGTTTATGTGTAACAGTGAAAACAAATAAAGCTAGGGTTCCTTGGAGCAGTGCTCGATCATCAAGTGTCACTCCACTGTTGCACTGTCAGCAGTGGAGTGGCACTCATCTTACACCATGCTTCAAGGAATTTCATGTATACTCCAGCATGTCTAAAACACTATTGTCTACGAATATATACTGTGTATATATTTGTAGACAATAGTATGTGACCAAGACAGGTGAAAATGTTCTCTTGTTAGTGTGTTAGTGACTGAGTACTATTTCAGTATCTAATATTAGTGTCAGAACAAAGATTAGCTATGAAATCACAACAACTACTATAAATTGCAATTATCAGAACATAAAAATTATATAGTAAATTAAAATAAAAACGAGAAAAAAAGGTATAATGGCAACATTTCTGCAAGCGGCAGGACTCCATGTTGCTGTCAGGTGAACATCCAGCACCAACTTAGCAGTCTTATATCTTGGCAAATACTGACCCTCTTTTTTTTTTTTTTTTTTTGGGGGGGGGTCTTATTACACAAAGAAAATTGTCCTCTTTAATTAAATATTTAGAGCGCTGGCAGTGAAAATGTAGATCTACGTTTGGACAGTTTAAGAGTTAAAATGAAATAACATCAAGCACTGCAACTTATTTTTAACCTGAATATTTTTAACAAATTCTTAATTAAAATCATGTTACCTCTAAAATGAAATTTAAAATATATGGAAGCATATTTGGCAAATGGCACACACCACCAAGTCATTGATGAAGACGGGGTAGCTGTGATTTTATACACTGAGCAGGGAGGTATAACATCATGTAGCTGTGAGGAAGAGCCAGTTGAAGTGCGTGAGGCAGTGGGTAGAATGAAAGGGGATAAAGTAGCTGGGATTGATGGGATAGAGACCAATTTAAAAGCAGGTGGGGATATAGTTTTGGAGTGGTTAGTGCTTTTATTTAGTAAATGTATGGAAGAGAGTAAGGTACCTAGGGATTGGCAGAGAGCATGCATAGTTCCTTTGTATAAAGGCAAAGGGGACAAAAAAAAAGTGTAAAAATTATAGGGGAATAAGCCTGTCGAGTGTACCTCGTAAAGTGTACGGTAGTTATTAATGAAAAAATTAAGAGTAAGTTTATTCAGGTACAGGTACACATAAATACAGTTACATAAATTATCATACATAGCAGTATACTGAATATGTAGGTTACTAGGATAACCAAAAAAGTCAGAATAGGATCACAGATGAACAAGGAGGCTTAAGTAAGGGTAGATGTGTGTAGACCAAGTGTTTATAGTGAAACATATAGGTAAACAGTATTTAGATAAGGGTAAAGAGGTTTTTGTGGCATTTATGGATTTTGAAAAGGCATATGATAGGGTGGATAAGGGGGGGGGAATGTGGCAGATGTTGCAAATGTATGGAATAGGAGTTAGGTTACTGAAAGCAGTGAGTTTTTACAAGAATAATGAGGTTCAGACTAAAGTGTGTAGGAGAGAAGGAGATTATTTCCCAGTAAAAGTAGGCCTTAGATAGGAATGTGTGATGTCACCATGGTTGTTAAATATATCATAGATGGGGTTGTAAAAGAAGTGAATGCTCAGGTACTGGCAAGAGATGTGGGATTAAAAGATAAAGAATCTAACACAAAGTGGGAATTGTCACAATTGTTTCTTGCTCATGACACTGCTTTTGTAAGATTCTGAAGAGAAGTTGCAGAGGTTGGTGGATGAGTTTGGTAAGGTACATAAAAGAAGGAAATTAAAAGTGAACATAGGAAAGAGTAAGGTAATGAGGATAAAAAAAAATTTTGGTAATGAAAGACTGGATATCAGATTAGAGGGAGGGAGTATGGAGGAAGTAAATGTATTCAGATGTTTGAGAGTGGACTTGTCAGCAGATAAGTCTATGAAAGACGAGGGGGAAAAGTTGAGTGGTGCACTGAGTTGTCTGTGGAAACAAAGAACATTATCCATGGGAGCAAAGAGGGGAATGTATGAGAGTATAGTTATACCAACACTCTTGTATGGGTGTGAAGCATGGGTGGTGAATGTTGTAACAAGGAGAAGGCCGGAGGCAGTGGAGATGTCATGTCTGAGGGCAGTGTGTGGTATGAATATAATGCAGAGACTCCATAGTTTGGAAATTAGGAGGAGGTGCAGGGTTACTAAAAGTATTAGCCAGAGGGCTGAGGAGGGGTTGTAAAGGTGGTTCAGACATTTAGAGAAGATGGAATGAAATAGAATGACTTCAAGAGCATATAAATCAGTAGCGGAAGGAAGGTGGGGAAGGGGTCAGCCTAGAAAAGGTTGTAGGGAGGGTAAAAGAGGTTTTGTGTGTGAGGGGATTAGACTTCCAGGAAGCACGCGTGAACATGTTAGATAGGAGTGATAGTTTTATGACTTGATGTGCCATTGGAGTGTGAGCAAGGTAACATTTATGGAGTCAGGGAAACCAGCAATGCCAGACTTGAGTCCTGGAGATGGGAAGTACAGTGCCTGCACTCTGAAGGAAGGGTGTTGATAAGTTGCAGTGTTATACCTGTAGTGTAGGTGCACCTCTGGCAAAACAGTGATGGAGTGAATAATGAAAGTGTTTCTTCTTTTTCAGGTCACCCTGCCTTGGTGGGAAATGGCTGATGTATTAAAAAAAATGAAAAAACCTTCCTATATACTTCACAAAAAAAACTATAATCTAATAATACAAAAAAAGCACCACACCAGTAAGCAAAATAAAAAAAAATTGTTTCAGTCAAATTTTGTTGTGATAAACAAAAATTAAGGTACATTATTTTGTTAGTTTAGCAGTAAACATACATATCTAACCAGAATGATTGAAAATAGTTTCTGCATAAGTATGTGTGAGTGTTAAAGGTATGATTGGTTGGTTGTATGTTTTGCATAGTTGTAGAGAGGTGCATTTGTATTTATGCATATATTTGCTGCCATGCATGGATAGTGGCATGTGGAGTTGTGTACAATATATGGTAAAAAATTTAACAGTTAGAGGTCATTACTTTTTTGAAAGAATAATGTGCTATTGTAAGTGTTTTGCACCCTTAGTTTAAACAGAGAATAATCACTTTCTCAAAAAACTTTTAGAAAGGCTCATTCTGTGAAACCTTTTAAATTTATACTGATATGTGCTCATATTTGTGAAAACAAGCTGAACAGTATAACATTCTTGAAATGACACAGGTGTTCCATAAGGCAAACCTAGACAACTCATTCTGGAAACCCTAAAATTGCTTAAACTTACAAAAACTAAGTCCTACCAACAAGTGAGCATACTGCAAAAGCAATAAATCTTAAGGTTTCATTTGATTTCATCATTCCACAGATGAAATGTCAAAAAAAATATTGATCCCTGTATATATTTTTGTCAGAGAATCTTGACAGGCTTACTTAATAAAGATTTTCATTCTATCATTAATTAAAATTGAGAGCACCAACTGGGATACTGTATATGGAAATGCTTAAATGCATAAGTACTAGGAAATGCAATTTTATCTAAACAATTTAAAATACATATGTACTAAATAGGAGCAACACAAACCAACTAGGGACATGAAGCTCATAGACAGCACAAACACAATTAAAAAATTAAAATGTAATCTCATTTACAAGAAAACAAACACTGTAATACTGTTAAATAATAACAAAATATCTTTGGTTTATAGAGTATATTATTAAAAATCAACAAACAAGCCCCATTTTGTAATCTTTTGTCATACATCATGAGAAACTTGTTGGCAGTTAATTTCACTCCAGAAAATATCAAGCACATCAGTCATTATTATGAGACAAGGGATTTTATCCACAGTCCAAAAAAAAGTCTTCCACTCAAGTCCCATAAGTTATCACAGTGTCACTTGCTAATGGCAAGATAAGTGGTCACTACATTTGTTGTAACCTCAGTATTTTGGGCAACAATGACATGCAGGTGTGGATAAAATACCATCACTGCTGTTTAATAGTACAAAATTTCTATTCTTAACTGACACAAAACTCCTTTTCCCCCACCCCCCTTGGAAAGGATTTGAGATATTTTGTGTCTAAATACTGCACAGTAAGTATTATGAAAGATAAAAACATGGCATGGAAATTACTTGGGTTTAGGGGCCACCACTGGCTTCACTTCCTGGCTTTTTCTGGACGGTGTTTTTGTTACGGTCTTTTGGTCCTGGACTTCAGATTCTTTCTTTTCAAATTTCTGTTGTAGAGACGCTACATGCGAGTTGCTTATTCGTCCACTTCGGTTGATGCCTGATATTCCAGAAGCAGATCCTGGTCTGCTGACCTGTCCAGTTGAAGGTTTACTAACTGTTGGCATAGATTTTGTAGCTGCTTTCTTTGGTCCTGCCTTTTCCACTTGTTTATCTGCAGTCTTGGTGCCTGTTTTGGTTCCTGTTTTGTCTGTAGTCTTATTTCCTGGCTTCTCACTTGGCTTGCTTCCCACTTTCTGATCTGCCTTATTTCCTGTTCCTGTTGTCTTCTTTGCTCCTGGCTGGGGTGTAGTACTACGGCTCTTCTCCCCCCGACCACTACCAATAGTAGTAGTAGTCCTTAAAGGCGTTACACCACGTGTAGGTGTAGCACTTTGAGAAGGAGATAATAAACGCCCAGGCTTAGAAACTGATGAAGTTACTTTAGATGCTGGAGATGAACCTCTGCCACGTGCAACATTACTTCCACCAGATGATGTTGCACTTGATTCCTTAAAATCAGAAGTTTTGCTTGTGTCTGGCAAGGCTTCCATTTTTGTCATTTTTTCTGTAGCATTTTGTGTAATGACTTTGTCTGCTGGGAATAGCACTTTGTCTGGAGGAAATACTGGTCTATTAGGCTGTGCTACCGAAGATATTTTGGTAGCTGTTGAAGGAACAGTTTTTTGTATCTCTGCTGTTCTTGCAGTTGTGACTGTTAGTACAGGGGCTGAAATGTTTGATGAGGCATTGATTGTAGAAGCAGGAGGAGTTACAGCTGTTTTTGAAATAACAGATTGTCCTGGCACTTCCCTTTCCCTTAAGTTTGGTTTTAAAGACTGAAATTTACTACTATGGCTATTATCGGTAGTTTTCACAAATTTGCTGTTACTGGCCGCTAATGTTGCTGTTGCTGCTGCCTCCCCAGCTGCTGCTCCTGCTGCTCTTACTGCTGCCAGTGATGCTGCTAAAGTCATTGATGCTGGTGTATTAGTGGTGCTCGGTGTGGTTGTGTTGACTGTTGGAGTTGTAGGTATCACTGGACTACTCTTTGAATTAATTAAACTTAAAGATTTCAATGTGGCAGGTGTTACTGTTGATGTTACAGAGGTTGTTGCTGGTACAGTGGTTGCAGTGTTTGAATTTCCTGCATTTAAATATGAGAATACTCCTCTTGGCACAGGCTTCAGTGGTATATTACTAGTATGAGAGTTTAGTATGCTAGCTTTAGGAAGATTATCAGAAATTATAGCATCTTCATTTGGTGATGTTGAAGCAGATGTGCTAGATTTTTTCATTACATCAGGCACCTTCTTAGATCTCCATGGATATGATGTACTTTTACTCATGCCATTACTGCTTACCATTTTAGAGCCTATATTGGCATCGCTTGTTTTAGTGTGTAATATTGCCTCAGAGTTTTGTGAAGTATTAACTCTGCTATCTTGACTAGTAAGAGATCTTGATTCACTTGTTTTGTTAGTCTTGTGTTCTTGGTCTCCACCTTTACTTTTTTTTCTCTTAGCTAATGTACTAACAAATTCAGCATCTCTAGTTGACAATTCTGTAACTATTTCAGACAATAATCCACCATCTTCTGAACTTCCACAACTTGTTCTTTGGCTATCAAGTAAAGTAGGAGATGGGGAACTAAGTGACGGTGATATGTCGCTTGCAAGTGGAGATTCAACTTTCTCTACATCTACTTCATGATCAGGCGGTGATTCTATAAGATTTGTATAGACAGGCTCTGATGCTGTATCCTCTTCTGGCAAGTTTTTATCCTTACTTTCTTTCTTTTTTGGTTTGTTATATAGGAAAGAAAATATAGATTTTTTCTCTTTCTTACCATTGACTATGTCTGGAGGCAGATATGTAACCTCTTGTAGGGGAATTTCTTTATCTGGAGTTCTGTCATCAATAGTTGCATAAATGTTTTCTGATGGTGTAGTGTCATCCTCTATATCAGCTATTGGAGCACTGCCTTCTTGGATATTTAGACAGTCATCATAGAAACACTCCGACTCAGGTGTTCCTGGGATTGTAGGTAGAGGAGGTCTAGGTGGTGGTTCTGAAGGCCTTGTTGGTGGTAAACTTTTGGGTCTTGGTGCACGCATGGAACCAAACTTTGGAATGGCTGGACGAATAGTCACTGGAGTTTCCCTCATGCTACCTATTCTTTGAAGTTCTTTGTTGGTATCATTTTTTTCTATCACTGATGGTGTCCATGTTACTCTAATATTTGATCTCGAGTCTCCTGTGGTTGGAGTCTTGACTTTGTCTTCAGGGACAGATGGAGCCCAAGATACTTTGTTTGGTTTGCTAATTTCTTCTTGAGCTGCTTTAACCTGGCTTGGTTTTACATTGCTAGGCATTGGAGGGTCAGGAGCTGTTCTAACTGGGACTAAATTTGCAGGAAGTTCTGTAGCATGAAGTTGCATTGGAGCAGAGATTTCTAATTGCACAAGACTTTCACGCTTGATCTTAGCTGCTTTTCTTGGTAGGGTATTAGCACGTCCTGCTTCAACATCTACCTCATTATTTTCCAGTCCCTGTTTATCCTTTTTAGTAAGAAAAGAAGCAATTCGGGCTACTGCTGACTGCTTATCTCCCTCTTGCCGCTTTATCTCAAAATTTTCATCATGATTTTCTCCCTGCTTGCATGCCTGAGTGATAAGTATAGATGCATCTGGGACTGAGAGTGGCCTCGTTACTAAACTTGGAACCTTACGGTAGGGTGTAATAACAGCAACAGGTGGCATGTATGTGGATACTGTCTGCGCGTTTCCTGTTGCAGTAACTATTGGTGGTAGCGGTGGTGCCACTCTAGTTGGTAACACAGACTTTGGTATATGTGGTGCAATAGCTGGATTGGTAGAGCCTTGTAAACTGGGGCCACTGATGCTCATTTTAATTCCAGAACCCTCACTCATTGTCATATTTGGTACTCCTGCCTGACCTGGTTGATTAGTAATCCTATTTTGCCACCCAGTTACTAAAGAACTGTTTGGTAGCCCATTGGAAGCACTTGTGATAATTACATCTGTAGTGATAGATGGTACACTAGCTGGTGCAGGTATGGCAGTCACAGGTGGTGGCGGAATAGCTGGTACTGATTCCCCACTAGTCTTTGAACCTGGAGGAGACTTGTCTTTTATAGATGGAGATTTTGTAAAGCTTTCACCTTTTCCAAAGAAACTACCAGAAAAAGCATGTGGTTTTTTAGCTAAACCTCCAGCAGTGATAGAATTTGCATGTCCATTAAGAAGTGGACTATTGCTCTTTGATCCCTGTGATGATGGTGGCGTTGGGGACCGTGGAGTGGTTACTGCTCCTAAACTGTTGTCTACTTGTCTCCCTACTCCAACTACATCCACACACAGAGAGCTTGGAGGGTGATTCATTCGTTTTCCATGATCCACATGGGGTAACCTATGAAATAAGAATATGTTAAAGTTAAATTATTTGTGTAACAATTTTAATGCACATCCAAATGTACACAATACGTATTTAAAAAAAAAATGGTAATAAATACTCAACTAAAGCATAAATATATAATATTCTTTGGATGATTAAGTTTCCTAAAATCTAATATGAGCTACTGGTGAGGTCTAGATTTTTTGCCCCACCCAAAAGTGAGAAATACCTAAGAGTCATTGCAAATAACAATCTCTGCTACTTCCATTTCCCCATACCCCCTCCCCTCATCACCAATTATGTATTATATGCATTCTGATATATTCCCATTTTTGCTTTCACAAATCCCTCAATACTCCTACTCCTGCAACTTTTATTTCTTTCTCCTGTTGTGTGATTTGCTTTGTCTTTCACAGAGTCATCTACTGAAATATCAACCTCAAGTTTCTGAATGCATTCACTTTGTCTAATCTCGAGCCTGTCCTATGGCTGGACTCCAGGAGTAGAAAAACTTGTGGAACTCATCAAAGGTAAGGTTCCATTGCAACCCCTACTCTTTTATTACTTATACTTCAATGTACTAGGACATCTTGCTCTTTTTCTGTGTTCACTTTCATCCTTCTCCTTTACACACACTTCCTAACTTCCCTAACTACTTCTGCAGTTTCTCTTTTAAATATTCAATGAACACTGTTATCTGCAAACAATTATTATGACAGCTTCCAATTAAAATCAATTTTATTATCTTTTAGAATACTTCTCCCAGATGCATTAGTAACTACATATTATGAGGCATTTTATATATTCTTTATGAATGTGAACTGAAAACCACACTGTCAAGAGCATGCTAAGACTGTCCCATTACCAAAATCATTAAGAAGACTTGCAAGTTTCTTTTGCTTCCATATGTAATGTCCATAAATAAGATACCATATTGTACAGTATTATTAAGTTCATCACAAAACACACGTGTGGATTGTATATATTTGGGTGCATGTAAAGTGAATACATATGCAACAAATGCCATGTAAATTTTACTACAACAAACTCGAAGAACTAAATACAAGAATAAAATATTGCCATTATTATTAAATTCCCAATTAATGATCATTTTTTTTAAACAAAGAAATATTGTATACAGAGACTTTACTATGAATTTAAACTGTCCAATGTGCAGTGTTTATTTTATATATTACACTCCCCGCTATAACCACTTTGGGAGAAAACATGGTATTTGTGAACACCTTGTGCAAAAGTGCTTTAAACAGGAAACATTAATTATTTCAGTCTTACAAGTGTCAGCATTCTGATAAGGCACTCATGCATGCCTTAAATTCATGCATATCTGTTTGATAAATTTAACTTCATGATTAACATGAAAACATCAAGTAAGGGAACCATAAACCATGGTCCAGATCAAATCACAAACATCACAACAGAAAATGAGCTGTCAGAGATTCTGAATTGAGTTTGTGTAGCACTTCATTGTTAAATGTGTTTCACGTGGCACAGGAAAAAAAAAAAAAACTAGAGAGAACACACAAAAAAAGAATGGTGACAGTATATTTGAGCCTCACCCTGAGGCCTCTCTAACATACTGAGGACCTTAGCGTCAGGATGTGATAGATAGATAGATAGAGTGGGAGAGGCACTGCCAAGAAATTTTAATGAAAATAAGAAAAAATTTTGGAGTGAGTTAAACAAGTTAAGAAAGCCTAGGGAACGAATGGATTTGTCAGTTAAAAACAGAGTAGGGGAGTAGTAGATGAGGAGATGGAGGTTTTGGGTAGATGGCGGGAATATTTTGAGGAACTTTTAAATGTCGACGAAGAAAGGGAAGCGGTAATTTCATGCACTGGCCAGGGAGGTATACAATCTTTTAGGAGTGAAGAAGAACAGGATGTGAGTGTAGGGGAGGTGCATGAGGCATTAAGTAGAATGAAAGGGGGTAAAGCAGCTGGAACTGACGGGATCATGACAGAAATGTTAAAAGCAGGGGGATGATATAGTGTTGGAGTGGTTGGTATTTTTGTTTAATAAATGTATGAAAGAGGGGAAGGTACCTAGAGATTGGCAGAGAGCATGTATAGTCCCTTTATATAAAGGGAAGGGGGACAAAAGAGATTGTAGAAATTACAGAAGAGTAAGTTTACTGAGTATACCAGGAAAAGTGTACGGTAGGGTTATAATTGAAAGAATTAGAGGTAAGACAGAATGTAGGATTGCGGATGAGCAAGGAGGTTTCAGAGTGGGCAGGGGATGTGTAGATCAAGTGTTTACATTGAGGCATATATGTGAACAGTATTTAGATAAAGGTAGGGAAGTTTTTATTGCATTTATGGATTTAGAAAAGGCATATGACAGAGTGGATAGGGAAGCAATGTGGCAGATGTTGCAAGTATATGGAATAGGTGGTAAGTTACTAAATGCTGTAAAGAGTTTTTATGAGGATAGTGAGGCTCAGGTTAGAGTGTGTAGAAGAGAGGGAGATGACTTCCCAGTAAAAGTAGGTCTTAGACAGGGATGTGTAATGTCACCATGGTTGTTTAATATATTTATAGATGGGGTTGTAAAAGAAGTAAATGCTAGGGTGTTCGGGAGAGGGGTGGGATTAAATTATGGGGAATCAAATACAAAATGGGAATTGACACAGTTGCTTTTTGCTGATGATACTGTGCTCATGGGAGATTCTAAAGAAAAATTGCAAAGGTTAGTGGATGAGTTTGGGAGTGTGTGTAAAGGTAGAAAATTGAAAGTGAACATAGAAAAGAGTAAGGTGATGAGGGTATCAAATGATTTAGATAAAGAAAAATTGGATATCAAATTGGGGAGGAGTATGGAAGAAGTGAATGTTTTCAAATACTTGGGAGTTGACGTGTCGGCTGATGGATTTATGAAGGATGAGGTTAATCATAAAATTGATGAGGGAAAAAAGGTGAGTGGTGCACTGAGGCATATGTGGAGGCAAAAAACGTTATCTATGGAGGCAAAGAAGGGAATGTATGAAAGTATAGTAGTACCAACACTCTTATATGGGTGTGAAGTTTGGGTTGTGAATACAGCAGTGAGGAGGTGGTTGGAGGCAGTGGAGATGTCCTGTCTAAGGGCAATGTGTGGTGTAAATATTATGCAGAAAATTCGGAGTGTGGAAATTAGGAGAAGGTGTGGAGTTAATAAAAGTATTTGCCAGAGGGCTGAAGAGGGGTTGTTGAGGTGGTTTGGTCATTTAGAGAGAAGGATCAAAGTAGAATGACATGGAGAGCATATAAATCTGTAGGGGAAGGAAGGCGGGGCAGGGGTCGTCCTCGAAAAGGTTGGAGGGAGGGGGTAAAGGAGGTTTTGTGGGCGAGGGGCTTAGACTTCCAGCAAGCGTGTGTGAGAGTGTTAGATAGGAGTGAATGGAGACAAATGGTATTTGGGACCTGACGATCTGTTGGAGTGTGAGCAGGGTAATATTTAATGAAGGGATTCAGGGAAACAGGTTATTTTTATATAGCCGGATTTGAGTCCTAGAAATGGGAAGTACAATGCCTGCACTCTAAAGGAGGGGTTTCGGGATATTAGCAGTTTGGAGGGATATGTTGTGTATCTTTATACGTATATGCTTCTAAACTGTTGTGTTCTGAGCACCTCTGCAAAAACAGTGATTATGTGTGAGTGAGGTGAAAGTGTTGTATGATGATGAAAGTATTTTCTTTTTGGGGATTTTCTTTCTTTTTTGGGTCACCCTGCCTCGGTGGGAGACGGCCGACTTGTTGAAAAAAAAAAAAAAATATATGTATATATATCTCACATCCTGACACTAAGGTCCTCAGTATGTTACAGAGGCCTCAGGGTGAGGCTCAAATATATTGTCACCATTCTCTCTTTTTTTTTTTTTTTTTGTGTTGTCTCTAGGAGGTTCCCCCCCCCACACACACACACACACAGTGGACCCCCAGTTATCATAATTAACCCTTTGAGGGTCGACAGGCCCTCTCCGAAACTCGTTCTCAGGGTCGGCCAAATTTAAAAAAAAAAAAAATTATTTTCTCTTATGAAAAGATAGAGAATCTTTTCCCGATCATAAAGACACCAAAAGTTTGAAATTTGATAGAAAACTTACGGAATTATGCTCTCGCAAAGTTAGCGGTCTCGGCGATGTTTACGCATCGGAGATTTTGCCCACTTTGAGCCCCATTTTCGACCAATTTCACTGTACTAGTCGACAAAAAACATGCATATTTCGCTAGAACTCCATTTTTTCTATCGAATGGTGCAAGAAACCACCCATTTAGAAATTCAACTATCCAGTACAGTGGTCAGAATTTAGCAATTTTGCCAATTTCACACAAATTTCAAAAGATGCCAATTTCCGAATAGGGTCCAGAATAAACAAGAAAGACATTCCTGGCACTAAAATGACATTTCCTCTAGTCATTAGTCACGTCTCAAGGCCCCTCTTATATTCTTTTGCTTTCCACTTTGAATTTTTATTCTCACAAAAAATATAAGATTTACTGTTATGCAGACTACTGCATTAGTGTAAAAAATGGTATAAATATTATTGGTGCACTTGTAAAAGAATATTAGACTCACCAGTTGATGTGTATTGCACGCTTGGCACGATTTGTTTACTTTTGAAGTTTGGTAAAAATCGAACATTTCTGCTACTTTGAGCTCAATTTCAAGGCACCTTTCATTGTAAAACCAGTCAAGATCATCTCAATTTCTGTAATATGTCTTCCATTCTATAAAATGAGACCAAGAAAACTAGAATACAACAATAAATACCATACGAAAATACACTGCAAAGTCGCTGATTTATTAAAAAAAAATGGTCAAAGTTTTTTTTTCTCATTATGCACTGTGTGCTGCAGGATTTTTTTTAGACTGTGCACACTGACCACATAGACCCATTCTTTCATATGAAGGCCTACCAGCTTTCTCCCACTAGATTTGAGGCCGCTAGAATTTATGAGTACTAGTACGTCAAAAAACCCTACGCGTAAAACGTACTAGTACGACCAAAACCCTCAAAGGGTTAATCTGTTC